GCCAGACCACGTCTCGCGTAACAGGCTTCGCGATATCTCACGAAACACTGTTACGCTGCGACGCGCCTGGCGCACATATAGCTAGGCCTGCGGCGCTGACACCCCAGACGAGTTAAATTTTACAAATTAATAGACCATTTGGTCGTTTTCACCTTATTTTCGCCAAGAAATGCCCCCTAGCACCCAAACGGTGCCGGATAAAGCAAAACGGACGAAATTTTCGCCCAAGGGGTTCTACTTTCATGAGTTTCCCATTAGGAACCCATAAAAAAATATTTGAAAAACAATAGAAATTTTGCGACCTGTGGTTTTTGATTTTTTTTTAAAGTCAATTTTTGAGCTAGAGTGCTCATCTTCGAACTCGATCTGGCTTTTTATGATACAAAACGACCCTGAAATTCCCAGATTGATATCTCAATTCTTTCTCGAGTTATCGTGCGTACAGACGGACAAACAAACAGACAGACAAACAAACAGAATGAAACTTTTCTGGTCAGTGGAGTAATGGGCTTCGCTAATCGCTCAGCCAACAAAATATCCTGAAATGAAAAGAAACAATTATTGCATTCTTAAAAGAATCAATTTTGGCAAGCAATACGTATGGTTGCCTTTATGTTCAGATTCTTATACCTTTATGTAGTTTGCTATGATACTTCATTTTTTAATGGTAGTTTGAAGAAGATTGACCGAATTCTTCTTCATCAATCACTCATCACACAATTGGGAAATGCAGCAATTCACTGTTCTGTATTATGATGGCTTTAGTCATGGTGGTAGATGTGCTTGACTGCATTCAGTGTTGAACCTGAAACAAGACTCTATTTTACAAATATGCACATTAACTTGATGGACACATTATTTTTAGCAAAAAGTGTATTTTTCTAACATATATTTTCTTTACTTTGGTATGAAAAACATTCCTCAATTACCTTGAAACTGCATGATCATAACCTTTTGACTTTTATTGTTGTCGTTACGCAACCTGTCCTGTTTAGCAAGATTTCATCACACGTTTGACAGATGTAACTTTTGCCAATGTTATCGAACTTTTGTACTACTGAAACAAGACTTTAATTTACAAATATGCACAATAACTTGATGGAGAAGTGTATTAATGGAAGGTTTATTTTCAAATTGGTTTTGAAAAATATGCCTTAGTTACCTTGAAACTGCATGATCATAACCTGTTCAGCTTCCTGGTTGTTCTTATGCAACCCGTTCGGTAACGAAGATCTCATCACACGTTTGGCAAATTTAACTTTTCGTTTAGGGTTAATACAAGTAAGTATAAAATAGAGTGTCCATAGAATTCAAAAGAAAAAACTAATGAAATAATAACCTGAAAAGCTAGGTTACTAAAGGGGCATTTTTGAAATCACAAAACTTAAACGTTATAAGTAACACAATCATATGAATTAAATTACAATATGATTGATTGTGAAATATAAATTCAGTATCTAATACTTGTAGACGTCGAATTAATGTATACCTGTGCAAAAATTATCCATTCACATAAACAACAATTGGGCAGCATGGTTTATCGGAAGATTTCAACTCATAGCCTTGTACAGGCTTGCTTGTGCAATTCTGAATGTGAACGTTATTCTTTTATTTTTACTTGGTGAATCAGGTTAGCCAACGAAACCTTAGTTTAATTAAATTAAAAGAAGAATAATGTTGAAATTCAAAATACACATATCAAACTAGTTTGTTTCAATACAAATGTTCTCTGTTTATGGTGATACATGTTAACTTTCAGATGACATAGTGGTTGAATTATTGAAAAGGTCGATAATATTTGTGTACCTCTAGCGGAAGACTACTTGTTCATGACCGTTTAGATTACCTACAAATTTGTGCTAAAATATGTTTTGGGGGAGCTATTCATCAACATCAAATAACATGAAAGACGTACTAAACAAACTTAACCTAATCTGCTTAGACCTATGCATGGCGCCATGACAGTCCATACTCTTCAGAGGACCCCTACCAAACCAGACCATACTCCTCCAATACCTTGTACCCCCTCTACTACTGCTAGCCCATTTCTTCTTGTATTCTTCTTGGTTTTCCCTTTATAAGCGGCTCGCGCCAAGCCTCTGTTGCCCCAGTCTTGAACTATTAGTTGTCGAGCTCCCTAGTTACGTCAATAAACAGTCTAAGTCCAACTCGCTCTTCGCCTCCTTTATCCCTTACCACCAGTATACAACACTGGTGGCAGCGGTTAAAAACGAAGAGAAGGTACGACTTTGACTCGGCTTTCTAACTACGGTAATTCCCCCGTCTTTCCGAAAGGAGGGGTGGGGTAATACTTTAGTTTTCTCGCTACCAAACCTCAGTACCAGTGCGGCCGTGTCCCAGACCAGTCACACCGTGTCCCTTAGTTAGTCGACCAGTGCAACCGTGTCCTTGACCAGCTGCGCCGTGTCCAAACATTTACTTTAAGTTCAGTACCAGTGAGGCCGTGTCCCAGACCAGTCACACCGTGTCTCTTAGTTAGTCGACCAGTGCAACCGTGCAACAGTACAAACTGTATAGATGCATGTAATGTTGTAATTTTCGAAATATATCATACTCAATTAAATTTTGGATGGAATTTATTGTTGTACAAGGTTCCATTGTCTAGAATGTTGCTACAGTTTCAACAAGAATTCGAAATTACCTCTCACACACAAGTCATTTAGAATTTGATTTTGAATTGAATTTGATTAAATCAGTTTAAAAAGTGTAAAAGTACAAAAATGGAAGATAAGAAACCAATGGAATATCCAGAATCAACAGAAGGAAATGAACATTCGGAGGACGACAATACAGAATCTAATGATGTTAGTACTTCACAGTTCGGTCCTTTTGATCAATAACTAACGAACTTATTTAACTTTCTATTACATTTTAAAGAGATATACCTTAATTTTTTCAACTGTAGCTAGTTCAGTATATCAAATATATTTGAATAAACAGTTAAATCGAGACACTAATGAAATAGTCAAATTTCAGAGATGATATCTCCACTAGACGTCTATA